CCCAACGGGCCAGGGCGTGCTAAGATCCCCGGTAACTGGTTAACAGTATTAACAGTATTTCTAGTTCGCGCGCGCGGGGCGGCCCCTGGGGGTCCCCCGGCGAAAAGTGCCCCGACCAACGCCCGGTCGCCGCCCGACCGCCGCCCGACCAAGTCTACTCAGAGATGGTTTTCCTTCTGGGTGCGGCCTCTCAGGCTCCCCAGAGCGCGCTCAGAGCGCCCCAAGAGGCCCCCAAGACTGCCCAAGAGGCCCCCGAGACGCCCAAAGAGCGCTCGAAGACGCCGAAGATGACCCCAAGACGGCCCAAAAGGCCCCCAAGACAGCCCAAGAGGCCTCCAAGACGCCCCAAGAGCCTTCCAAGAGGCCTCCGAAGAGAGCCCCAAGAGGCCAAAATCGTTGATTTTCATTGGTTTTTTCGATGTTTTTTGTGTTCTGGCTTTTTCGGCTTCCGGACGCTCCAAGACGGCCCAAGAGGCCCCCAAGACCGTCCAAGACGGCCCACGAAGCTCCCAAGACGGCGCCGAAACGACCCAAGAGAGCCCTCAAGACGGCCCAAGTGCCGCCCAAGACGGACCAAGAGGCCCCAAGACGGGCCCAAGAGGGACTCAGGAGGGATACCGAGAACTCAAAAATGGAGCCCTCCGTCCCAGAAGGCGCCCAGGAGGTCCCAAAGAGGCCCCAAGAGGCCTCCAAGAGGCCCCAAGATGTCGCCAAGAGGCCCCAGGAGACTCCCAGGAGGCCCAAAAGAAGCCCCAGAAGGCTTCAAACATGTCTCCCAGGCGCCCCCGAACGGCCTCTCAACAGACCCCAAGAGGCCCCCCAAAGAAGCATCTTGACGACGACTCTATTTCGCCCCATCGAGAGACGACCCCCAGGGAACTGCTTCACCATCAAAACCCCCCACGCAACGCGTCCGAACGACACCCGCCCCCAAGAGCGCAACATGGGCAACGAACACACAGACAAAAACCAGCGATGCCATATCACGGGCCGGCGGAATGAGCGAAGCGATTCAACGACAAGACCCGTGAGGATTTTGCTGGGCGTTTGCTTGAGCCCGAGAGGCCGAGTGTGGGGCCCACTCCTGAATGCAGCAGTGTCGTCGCCCTCCTCAACTCCTTCAGGGATAAAAACCTTGCGCGCATCGTTGAAGCTCGCGAGGGGGTCGTTACCCGAGAGAATCCACCAGAGCACCTTATCGAGCACTTGAGGGCCTTGGGGGTGACATTGCCACGCAGCGAATGGCAGCCCGTCTGGGCCAGGAGCCGAGTGGGGTAACTTCTGAAGGTGCCTCTGAAGCCCACGAAGGAGTAGGAGGAGGTAGATCTCGCAACTCGGCACGAGGTCCAAATTCTTCTAGGTAACGTTCAGCCTGCCGTCGAGCAATATTCTGTTTCTCAAACACGGAGCGCCAATGTTCCGCAAGAGCAGCAGTCATCGCGCCAGGCTCTGCGACGACCCCGCCAGCCACAGACACTCCCCGCAGAGCAAGTCGGCGGTCGAACGGACTCCACAACCGACTGCGGGAGACAAGGCCTTTAAGCCTCCGTCTGAGCTTCGCCGCAGCACGAGCATCAGGGTTATGTTGGATTTGTTGGCGTATGTCTCTCTGTTCTCGATCTGACATCGAGCGGTGAACCTCATTGGAGCCTTGCAAAAAATCGAGCGCGTGCAAGAGCGTGACCTTCCCGCCCAGGAGGTCGATCTCAAGATAGTGCCGAGCCAAGATGTGAGCGCACCTAAGTCGTTGAGCTAGTTTGACATCCTGTCTCCAGACAGCACGGCATATAGATTTCATGATCAAGAAGCGGGTGGGTAACGACTCAGGGCGCTTCACTACCATGGCGTTCCTAGCGTATTCTGTAGCCTCCCTCATCATTTTCTCGTTGAAAACCAGCAGGAGCCCAGGAGAGAACTTGCTCAAATCCGTCTGCTCAAAAACCCGCTTCAGATAAGTTGTCTACTCTTCCGGTTGAAAGAAAAAACATCCCGTGGAATGGGCCGTTCTCCAGGAGGAATGGGAGGGCTGCAGGATAGCTCGATCGCTAGCGGGGCATGGTCGGAGATGCCCCTCTCAAGCAGGACCTCTGGGTACCCCGTGGCCTTCCCACAAACAAAAACAACTGAGTGCAGACCCAGCTGGGGAACGACAAGAGGATGTGATCTATGGTGTTCAAGGTATTCAGGCTCTTGTTGAAGTGGGTAGGGTATGGGGAACCAACGTCTAGCATCTCTCCAAAGATCGGGCTCAGGATGGGATCTCGGTTGGGCCTCCACCCGTGGGCCGCGTGCGCGGGGCCCGGGCTGGGTGCTGCATCCAGGAGACGCGGCGCCTTCTCAGCGAGATTCAAATCGCCTGCTACCACCACAAGCCTAGAAGTGGGATAAAGGTAGGAGTCGGATAGGCAAGCACGAAGCACAGCAGCAATATGACGACGTTCGCTTACCGTTAGACCATGTAAATGTAAATTGAAGTGACTAACCCAGACCCCGGCTGAAAACTGAACCATCACTTCTAAGAGCTCGACCAGGTACAATAGCATTGCGAGTAATGGTAGGGCGCGAGGTAGAGGATGAGAAGGTATACTTGCTAAAGTTAGGGATGGGCGTGACCAAGCCCCCAGCGCGACGAGAAGCACATAACGAGACAACGGCAGAGAAGTGTTTGCAACCGTGGTAGAAGAAGTCGCGCACCTCAGGCAAAGTGCCGCGGGTCTCTTGCAGTGCGACGAAGCTGCCAGCCTGCCACAGCGCACGAACCCGCGAGAGTTTGGCCGAGCGGGTGTGAGACTTGAAATGAAATGATGCCATCGCATTCCACGTAACAAATCTCAACTTTGCTGGCTTCCCCGATGGCGTAGTCCAGAGCCCGAAGAGCGGGCTAAACCGACCACTGCGCATCAGACTGCTGACGATAGTTGGCCTTGACACCCGACAAGATCGTCTCCTTATCGATCGAGAAAGCACGCAAGTTCTCAAGCGCGAACTCAAACCGTGGAAGAACATCTCCTGGAAGGGGCTCGACTCTGACCAGCGGTTTCCACTGCGTCGAGACTTCGCCTATGAGCTTGTCGCTGTAATATTTGAGCGACGGGTAATGCAACTCGAGCTCGCGACGGATGTATTTGAGACCCAACTCCCGCTTGACCTGGGCCTGGTTCTTGTCAGGCAAAATGAACAGTTCTTGAGCTTCTTACGGCTGGTACCTTGAATATTTCCCAAACGTTGTCGGGCGCACGAAGGGCTTCGATCGCTTGCTGGTCTTTACGAGCAGCGTACATGCGGGCACCTCTGATGCGCATAACATGCTTGTTGCCAGTCTCGTCGCCTTCCCAGTCCACATCACCTTCGGCAATCTGAGCCCTCTGGAGCCAGCCACCAATAGCGGCCCGGACACTGGCCCGTGTACAAGAGAGCTTGGAGCGCAGGATAAGGATGCACTGGTCGACGTCGCGGTCGAAGTTAAAATCACTAGCAGCAGGAGGAAGCGGCTTCGCACGTTTGATATTGCCCAAAAGGCCGTGCAGTTCCTTGATCTGCGACTCGAAGAGATCGATCCTGGCCTCCTGCTCTGCCTGCTTAGCCGAAATACTCTCATATGTTGTCTCCAGCTTCTCCGCAACTGTAGTCCAGCCCTTCGCGAACTGGTTCGACGTCGACGCCAGAGATTGCTGAATACCAGCGATGGACGCCATGACCTCCGAGCGAGAAAAAAAACAAGGCCGCGCAACTCCACCAAGTCAGAAGCATCCACACTCTCGCCAGCACGAGGACGCACGTTTCGATTATCGGAAACACTCGCAGGCATTTGAGCCAGGTCTCTGAAACTGCGCGCTCTGAAGGGGGCCCGAGCAGGCCCAGTGAAAAAAGCCGCGGGCCCTGCGCCCAAAGTCTGAGCCAGCCCTCTCGGCCGCGAACAAGCTGAAGCCACCGAGGGCTCCGTGGTTTCAACTTGAGCCAAAATGGCTACGGACCTCCTCCTCCTCCTCCTCCTCCTCCCCCCCCTCCTCCTCTTCCACCTTCTCATCCTCCTCCTCCTCCTACTCCTCCTCCTCTTCCACTTTCTCATCCCCCCCCTCATCACTTCCATCTTCTTCCTTTCATGCTCTTGCTACATCAAGCCCGATTTCGGGCGCAGCAGCGCCGCCCGCGCCTGCCTGGCGCCGCGCTGCCCTTGCAGCGCCCGCCGGCCGCAGCAGACGGCGCGACCCCCGCCCTCCAAGAGGGAAATGGGGGGGGGAAGGGGGGGGGGAAGCGGCGAGGAGGAGGGGGAGGAAGGGGTGGAGGAAGGGATTGAAGAAGAAGGGGGGGGGGGGGGGGGAGGAAGGGATGGAGGAGGAAGGGAGGGGTCGGTCACCGCCGGGAGGCCTCGCGTCGCCAGGAGCGAGCGCGCCTGGCGGGGGAGGCAGGGTGGGGGGCCGGGTCGGGCTCGCGCCGTTCGCTCCTTCCGCCGCCGCCGCCATGGGGCTGCTGAAGAAGTGCGGCGAACGGTCGGAATCCGTCGTGGACTCTTGGAAGGCATTCCATCATCCCCCTCCTCTTTCTTGTCTCTTCGCCCCCCCTCCCCCTCGACATTGTTTTCACCTTCCTTCTTCTCCGTGCCATTATCATCATCCTTATCCCAGTCATCTGTCCTCATTCCTCCTCCTTCTCGGGCTTTCATCGTCGCTCCTCCGCTGCCTGCTGTCCTCCTCCTCCTCCTCCTCCTCATCTGCATCCCCCCACTCCTGATCGCCCCCCTTCGTCGGCGCGGTGCCTGTTGGATCCTCGCCGCCCAGAGCTTGGCAGTTGGCTGCGTCGCGCGAGCACGGGCTGGAGGTGTCTGGCGCGCAAGGCGGCCAACAGGCGGGGTGGGGTGGGGGTCAGTAAAAAGCCAGCCCTATGGGTGTCACATCAGGTTCCGGATACGTTTTTTTCCCCTGCCCCCTTGCCCCCTGATTTGGTCGGATGGGGCCTTCGTAGATAGCATTTGTAAGAGGGGGTAAGGCGCAAATATTAAAATGCCTTCGAGGTTTGACCTCTTCGGCGCGCTCACCGCCACGCCGCGCCCCGTCGCGTTCAAGCGGCACGGGTCCAAGTCGAAGTCGCACCAGGCTGCAGTGCAGATGTTGCTGTCCGGCAAGGCTGAGCCCGCGGCCCCTTCTGTTGGCGCGTTCCAGGCCGTCTTGGCGCATTTCCAGGAGGGGGGGCCCGGTCGTCGGCGGGGGTTCAGGGCGTTGGCAAGAGGAAGAAGGTCCGCGCTATGGCTTTCTGCCTCGCCGAGGCCGCGATTGCCGGGGCGAGGGGCTTGACGATCACGCAGGACAGCCGGAAGCGCAAGCTCCTCATGCGCTTCACGGCGCCCTTTTTCTTCTCACATGACACTATGTCGCTAATCGCTCGAGGGGGGGGAGGAGCAGGAGAGGGAGAGGGGGGGGGGAAGGGGGCGGGGGGAACGGGGGGGGGAGGGCGAGGGTGAGAAAGAAGGGGGAGGAGGAAGAAGAAGGGGAAGGAGGAGAAGGGCGAGGCCATCATCTCCTCTGGCTGCTGCCGGCGCCCCGACCGCTGGCGCCCCGACCAGAAACGTGAAATTGAAAGCACCTGGGGTCCTCATATTTCTTCTTCTAGATCCACCTCCTCAGCTCACCGCCGCCTCCTCTTCCTCCTCCGCTGCCCCTTCGCCGCCGCCGCCCCCCGCCTCCTCCGCCGCCGTCTCCGCCCGAGGCGGCCAGCGACGACCTCGTCGTCCGCGAGAGGGTGCTCGGCCACATCCAGCTCGAGCAGGGGGCAGGTGCAGATGATTTGATGAAGGCGTCGATGCGCATCATCGCCAACTTCTGCGCGCCGCCGCGCAACGGGGCGAGGGCGAAGGTCGACCAGGCGTTGCTCAAGGCGGCGCAGCACAAAGTCGAGCATTACTCTGCTGACGCAGCCCCGGACGAGCAGCTCGCTGGCAACTTGCTTCGCGGCAGGCCTTACCGAGCGCCATCGGTCAAAGAGATTTGGTCGCCTCTGCCAAATCTGCGCATCGTCTCTCGGGGCCGGGCGCATGCTTCTCGTCGCTTGCCTTCGACACTTTGGAAATCAGATGCATTTCTTAATGATGTGATGCAACGCATGGTTCTTGCAAGATCGCTCGCACACCTCATCCAGTATCCGAAGGTGTCTCAGAGTTGGTTCTCGTCCAACGTTGCGCGCTTGCAGGGGCATTTCATTGCCAACTTGCGGATCCAATGCGTGAGCATGTGCGCTTGCCTCTCTGACAGCCGCTCGAAGCCGACGGGCCGCGGGGTGCTCTTCTACGAGCCGTGCTTGCCCACTGCGATGCAGATCGCGCAGGTCCGCAATGGCAGCTCGGAGGGCGACATTGCCGCCGACTTCCTGGGCTACGTGGACGAGGAGAAGTTAATTCAGCTGGGGATGCTTGCCGACGCTGGGGGCGAGGCTTCGGCGCGCGCGCGGACCTGCGATTCCGACGACTTAGACGAGGCGGAGCTGCCGAGCCACAACGCGTTTTTCTTGCAGCGCATCGCCATGCTCTTCGTCGAGTCTCATTGCTACGACCTCGGGTGCACGAAGTTCGTGCACGATGCTGTGGTGAAGAGGCCAGTGGCGATCTTTGCGCGGGGCCATCCGCGGACCATAGGCGGCCCCGGCAGCTCGAGATCAGGGAGCTTTGCGCCCGAGATCAAGGAGCGCTGCAGAACCCGCATGGTCGCATGGTGCCGCCTCGCTCAGGCTACGTTCAAGGCCGAATGGCCACATTTCGAAGAGATGGCAGCCTCTGACGCTTTCAACTTGCAGACAGTTGGGCGGCACGCGCTGGAGGCGAAGACTGCAAACGAGGCCCGCTGCGAAATGATTGCGAACGCGCTTGGCCTCGACCTGCCCGCGTTGCTGAATGGGTATTTAAGCGTGCTTCCTGTCGCTTTGCAGAAGAAGAAAGCGAGCCCTGGTCTTGCCAACGTCGAGGCGTGGAGGATGGCGATGTCCCATTCTAAGGCTGCGCGCAAGGACCGCGCGGGGTTTGAAGCCTCGTCTCTTCTGCCCCTTGGGGCCGTGGAGGGACGAGGAGAAGAAACGCGGGAAAAGGACGGGCAGGTTGGGGGGGGCAGAGAGCGAGGGGGAGGGGGAGGACAAGAACGGAGAGGGAGGAGGAAAGATGAGAAGGAATGGGGGAGGCGTTGCAAGCCCAAGGAGACGACGCAGATCTCAACACTTCGCGCAGCCCTTGTCCAGTATGCTGCGCGGGTCGGTTCCTCCAGCCGAGTGGAGAGATCGTTCAAGCAGCCTCAATGGGCGGTGGAGCAGCGGCGCAGTTCTTGCTCTGACGCGTTGGAGAACGATGAGATCCAAATTGCGTGCTGGGAGAAGTGCATGGGCAGGTCGACGATTGCGGAGGTTGCTCAAGGAGCGTGGCAGCTACGCAAGCACGGCCCCCCTCGCACCCCAGGACCATGGGGCCGCATCGACAAGGGGGCCCCGAAGAAGAACATCAAGCGCAAGGTCGCCGCGCTGATGGGCCCCGAGAAAGCTTGGGTCGAGAGGCGTCGCCAAGGAGTCGAAGACATGATGGCCCGCGCCGGGGGGGTGGCGCGTAGCCGGGCCGTCGCCAAGGCACGGCGTGAATCGGCGCGCGGCGGCGGGTGGACTGATCCCCACAGTCGCCAAGAGACCACCTTGAGACATAAGCGAATGGAGTACTTCGTGGACAGCATCATGGATGGGGCGACTGCTGTGAATGATTTGAGCGAGGAGATGTGCCGCGTCGTGCTCCAGGAGGTGGAGCGTCGAAGGAAGGCGTCGCTAAGCCGCAGTGCGAAGTGGCGGCGCAATGATGATGCGTTCACAGGGCCGAAGCGGAGTCTCGAGGGGCTGCGCTTGTTTGTGGAGAAGGACGTGGACGTTTGCGAGGTCGACCTCGTTCGCAGCATCAGGAAGGACAACATGGCGCGAACTGCGGACCGGTCCCAAGCTGACATCTACGTGGTCGGCATGCTCAGCGCACAGGTTGGGCGCGGGCGATGAGGGGCGGGGCCGTGTCCACGCTGGGGTTCGTGATGTCGCGCGCCGAGCAGGGGGCTCCGATTGCTTGCGAGTGCGCGGCCAAGAAGCGCAGGCAGGTCTTCGCCACCGACAGCTTCATCGAGGCCCACCCGGTCGTGCACGGTGCGATTCGCACGTGCTACACCATGCAGGGCACTACTTGGACGCGGCTGAAGTCGGCCAACGACGTGAGGGACAAGAACCCCACCCCGAAGCAGGCAGGGCGGGGCGCGGAGTTGCCGGCGCTGGTCTCGCTCAGGGAGAAGCGCGACCTCCCCGAGGATCTCGGGATATAAGTTAAACAAACATTATCCTCCTCCTCTTTCTCATCCCCCTTCCTCATCCTGCTCGTTCTCCTCCTCCTCATCCCCCTCCCCCCTCCCGCCCTCCCCCCTCGCCCCCCTTATCCACCTGCCCCCCCCCCCATGTCCGTCATGCTGCTCATAGGCGTCCTCTGTCGTTTACAATCCACTCGTATCCTGCGCACAATCAATCAACTGCTTCGCATCTCCGAGGGCCTCGGCACCCACGTCCACGGGGGCTGTCCAGGAGGGCGTCGCCAGGAGGGGGAGAATGGATGGATGGACCGATGGATGGGAGGGTGGACTCTTCGCCCCTCTCAGGAAACTTCATGACCAAATTTCCTACCCAGGCTCTGCCTAGAAGGGTTCTTACTCGGTGTGCTCAAAGAGCCGGGCAGTGTCAAACGCCCCGGGCGGTTCCCCCGGCATCCGCTCTGCGGTTCCCCCAGTGACGTTCCCTTAGCTTAGCGTTGCTTATCTCATTTTAGCTTAGCTTATTTCATCTTAGCTTAGCTTAGCTTCATCTTCGCTCAGGTTTAGCTTAGCTTACCTTCATCTTAGCTTCGCTGAGCCTTAGCATAGCAGAGCACAGTGTAGCATAGCATAGCAAATCACAGCGGGGCACAGCATATCATAGCAAAGCCCAGCGTAGCACAGCATAGCGCAGCATGTCATAGCACGGCACAGCATAGCGCAGCACAGCACAGCACAACAAAGCACCGCGCAGCATAGCATGGCATCGCATACTATAGAATAGCAGAGCGCAGCTTCGCATATCATAACATAGCATAGCAAAGCATAGCACAGCATGACATTTGTTGCACAGTTTAGCACAACATAGCACAGCATAGCATATCATAACATATCCCATCATAGCTCAGCATAGCATAGAATAACACAACATAGCATAATATAGCATATCATAGCATAGCAGCTAATGCTGCTTGCCTAGGGGCTCCAACTTCTAGGTAGAGTCGCGCTGGGGCAATCTGCTTCCACGTTGCCGCTTTGTCTTTTCCCAGAGGAATTCGGAAGGTCAAGTGCGTGCTCGCTGAGGGGGGGGCGAGGGCGTGGCTGACTGTCGTGGACCGTCGTCTCTTGTTGTTTTCTTCTTCTCTTCTGCATCCCCCCTCCCCCGCGGCGGCGAAGGGCCCCTCGGCTGTGTTTTTTTGCGAAGATTCGGAGGCCCAGCTCGAGGCCTTGGAGGCCCAGCTCGAGGCCTTGGAGGCCCTGGGCGAGGCCTTGGAGGCCCTGGGCGAAGACGACGGAGGGGTCCTTGAAGCCTGGCGGTGCCTTCTCCTCCGCCTCCCCTCATCTTTCCCTTCCTTCTCCTCCTCGACCTCTTTTCGCCTCGTCGCCCCTCCTCCTCCTTCATCTTCCCCCCCTAACCCCCCCCCCCCCCCCCCCCCCCCAACCCCACCACCACCACCGCCCCACGACCGCCCCCACCCCCACCCCCGCCCCCCCCCCCCCCCAGTTCCCCTTCATTTTCATCCTGAGTCATCCTTGGGGACGGGTGAAGAGAGAGAGGGGGGGGCCGGGGAGGGGGGGAGGTGGAAAGAAGCAGGGAGGGGAGAGGGGGGTGGCGAGAGGGCAGGAAAGATGAGGCCGCGGAGGAAAGATGAAGGATGGGGGGGGCGGGGGGCGCACGTATGAGACGGGCTATCATTCACCTCTTAATGGCTAGCCAATAGGGAGGCGAGGATGACGAGGGGAGAAACGCTTTCGCTCCCCCCCCCCCCCTCTTGCACGGAGCGCGCAGGGCGCGGCGGGTCGCCGGTCGCGCAGCTTGTTCCGCGACCTCGTGGAAGTCGGGCTGCCTCGTGGGGCGCGGTGGCCAACAGCGATCGTCGCTGTTCGTTGGTCGTTGTCGGCCCCCTCCTCTCCTCATCATCCGCCCTCTTGTGATCCCCCCATCGTCATTCTACGCCTCCTTCACGTCCATCGACTCCACTTCCTCCTCGCCCCTACCCCCCCCCCCCCCCCCCCATCCGCATGAAGGAGAAGCTCCTTATCATTCCCGCCCCCCCCCCGACCCCGCCCTGCCCCGCCCATCGCCCACATCATCATCGCCGCCCGGTCGTTTGAAAACGGCGGATGGGGAAGGGGGGGGGGGGGCATGTTGGGCCAAGACGCGCTGAAGGGGCGGGGCCGTCTTGAGAGAGCCAAGATGTTCTGTCATTGGTGTTTTCTTTTTTTTGTGGGGGGGGCTCGATCGATTCCAGGGCGTCGATCACCCCTGAAACCATGACTGAGGGGACTTATTCACTCAATGAAGGGGGCTCGTTCACTGAAAGGAAAGGGGGCCCCGGGGCCTTGACTGACTGACGAAGGGGGCCGCGCCCTGAAGAAGATGGGGCGCCTGTCGGCCTTTGGGGGCGGGGTGGGGGCCCGTCGTCGCCGCGACGGGGCGCCGCTGGAAAATCTGGCGCGCGCGGGTGCCCTATGGGGCCCTATGCGCGGTCGGGGCCCTATGCTGTCCTATGCATCGCCGTTTTGGCTCGAATTTGAACGCGCGCGTCGACGCGCAATCCCGGGCGGCGCGGGTTTGCCCCACTGAGAGGGCCAACTGTTTTTTGTTTGACACGGCGTTAGGGGGGGGAGATGAGGCGGAGGAGGAGAGGGGGGGGGGGATAAGGAGAAGGAGCAGGAGAAGGAGGAGAAGACAGGAAGACAGAGGAGGGGGTCGGTGGGGGAGACGGAGGAGGAAGAAACAATTTCTGCCCCAAAAAGCCCTTGGCTCCCTCGGGTATATTGCTCATCGTGGAGCAGCGCCGGAATGCCGTCGCGGCCGCGCACCTGCGCCCGCGTCGCCGGGTCGTGGACGTTGAGAAGCACCCGCGCGAGTAGGAGAGGCTGCTGCAGTGGCCGATCGAGCAGCGCGACCAGAAGATCGAGCAAGGCGCGCTGGTCTTGCCAGACGAGCGTGGCGGCGCCGGCGAGGAGGGCTCCTCCTGCTCCTCCTCCTGCTCCTCCTCCTGATCCTCCTGCTCTTTCCTCTCCTCCTGCTCCCCCTCCACTTCCTCTAAGAGGATGTGCTCTTCGACTCCTTCGACTTCGACGAGAACTCCGAGGATGGGGCGCGACGGCGACGATCAGATGATCATCAGAGTCCGACCTGAGGCTATCGGGCGCCCTGGGGAGGAGGAGGAGAAGAATGAAAATGCTGAGGATGGGCAAGATGAGGAGAGGGGTGGGGGGGGGGGTGGGGGGGGGCAAAGAAAGAGGGGGGGGGGGGGTGAGGAGTGGGAGGAGGAGGAGGAGGAGGGGGAATATTCTTCAGGAGGAGGAGGAGGAAAAGAAGGACAGGGGGAGAAGGAGAAGACGGAGGAGGGGGGGGGAAGGAAGAGGGCGAGGAGAAGGAGGAGGAGAAGGAAGAGGAGGATGAGAACGAATGTAATGACTGTAATCTCTGGGCCCGAGAGGCGATCAACTCCGCGGCGCGCAGCGACGACGGGGGCAGCGACGGGGACGTGCTCTTCCTGGGCAACTGGGCCGACGACGAGCTCTTCTACGCCGCGTCGGATGCGTCCACAGCGGCGGCGCTGCCTTCTAGCCCAAGGCGCGCCGGCGCGCACTGCCGCCCCGCCAGGGCGACGAGGGGGGGGGGGGGGAGAAGGAGACGAGATGAGGAGGGCGATGGGGGAGGGGGAGAAGAGGTCAGGAGAAGGACGCGGAGAGGAGAGGGGGAGAAGACGAGAGGATGATGAGAGAGGGGGAGTAAAGCAGAATGATATCCAAATGAGAAATGAAGAATAATATTATCCAAACAATACCCAAACAATTATGCCAAAGAGGTGACAGGCAACATGCCTACCAGCCGCCTGACGCGGCGGCGGCGGAATGGAGGAGGCGACTCGCCAGCTTCGCCTATGCAGAAGAAGCGCAAGCAAGTGTGCTTGTGCCCGTCGCGGTGTGGCGGCTCGCCGTGCGCCCGCTGCGGCGGGCTCGTCGGCCTCTGAGCGGAGCCGGGCGGCGCGCCCGCTCCAACCCGCGGCGAGGAGGAGAGGAGAGGAGAGGAGGATAATAAGGAGGAGAAGGAAGAGGCCACTCATTTATCCACCGCTGCTGCGGCGTAGACGCAGCGCGGTTTTAGTCCATGCAGGCCGCTGTGGCTTGCGATGCATGCTGTAAAATAACAATAGCTATCCGATGCCAGCTTACTCGCGCAGCAAGCGCGCTGCTGCGTGCTCGCTCGCCCTGCCTGCGAACGCAGCTTCTCCTCTTGCATCCTTCCCGTCTTCTTGCTGCGCCTCCTGGGATACATGCAACAACAGCACGGCGTCGTGGCGTTGGCCACCTCCAGCTTTTTGTGGTGGGTAGTGCAACATTTTAGCTTTGTATTTTGTGCGAGTGGACATGCGTGAGAATCGTCACATGAGTACGTCCGTAGAAATAGTAGTAGGGGCTGCGTCCGTTGTCGTCGCGCGGCGCGAGGCATGCAAACATCAAAGAACGATCGATCGTGCTTTCTCACGACCAGAGCCGCCATCATCGCACCATCGTCCGTTGATGTTCGTCATCGCCATGTCTCGCCGCATTGCCCATCGCGTCGTCGCCGTCGTCGTCGCGCCATCGTCGCTGCACCATCGTCGTCGCCGGGGGGAAGGGGGGGGGGGGCGAGGGCCAGCGAGGGGCAGAGGAGGAGGGATGAGGGGGGACGGACACAATGAAGAAGAGGGAGGGATAAGGAGGGCTGGAGGAGGACAGGGGGTCGACGTGTTAGAAGCGGCAAGCGGGGGTGATAATGAGGAGGGATGAGGGGGGCGCGATGAGGGGGGGCAGCCTTCTTCTGCTTCTTCCGGAGCGGCCCAGGACAGCACAGGCAGTAGTTGGCGATCGCCTCCTCGGGGCGCGGGCGGTTGAACGCGTCCGAAGATATGATTTTTCAGTCCCCAGCCTGAGAGGCCCCGACACCATCGACGGGGACAATTTCTTGCCCGGGCCAGTTTTCGCAGCCCTGCAGCTCGACGCCGTGGGGGAATCAAAAAAAC